CCAGACCGCAGGTCCCTGGGTGCCCCGGATGGAGCTAGGTCGGGCGGAAGGACATGCGTTCCAGCCAGGTCATTTGGCTTTAGCTCAGCTGCACGTCAAGATTGCTTGTCATTCGTCTCACTCTAAACCTTTAGAAGACGTCCGTGTCCCAGTAGGAAATACATGAAGCTCGCTAACTCCGTAATCATGTCATAGAAAGAAAACGGGGTTTGCTGGAGGAGACTGGGGTAAGAAGGAAATAGGAATGAATTTGTCTGTCCTAAAGAGCAGTCATCGCCATCGAAGGGACTTACAAGCACTCCAGTTTTCCACCTGCGGCTGCCCTCTGTCTTCTTTGTAATAAAGAGGAGGTCAGTGGGCCCCCAGCATTTGTTCTGCAGTGGGCAGCAGCCTCAGAAGGACTGGCTCCACACGGGAACCTGCTTGTGGCACACCGGGCGTGGCCAGGCCTCCTGATCTGACCGCCCTGGGCATGTTACGCTGCAGCGCTGGACCTCCAACCCAGGTGACGGGGCCAGCCTCTTAGGATGAAGACCCAAGAGCGATTGTGGTGTTCCGGGCCAGGGGGAGAAGCCTACGCCTGACTCCTAACCCGGAGCTCAAGCCTGGAGTTTTTATTTAATTTTTCCAGCTCAGAGGACTTTTTCCCTTACTTGGCAATAACTAAGTGTGTGTGGTGGGGGAGAAGAATGTAGCTTTCCATTCATCCTTAGATGTCATTCCAGAAGAAGGAGATGAGTTCTGGGGCCAGGGGGATGTAGTCATCGGCAAGTCAAGAAGAGGATTTTGTGAGAGCTGAGGGAGGGAGGCAGGGAATGCTGACAAGAGGAGCCTCTTTTCCTGTGCTTTTTCTGGCTCAGGTTTCCTTGCTCCAGCCCCGAACATCAAGATGAAACACATTTGACCTTTCATCATCAGGCCCCTCTTGAGAGCTCTCTGTGAGATTTATTGTGTTAGGGCCCTGCAGAGATACTGTGCAAACTCCTGTTATCCACCTCTGCCTGGAGCTTGTCTGTGAAACGTGAATTGTGGGAGCTCCAAGACCCCCCAGTGCGCAGGAAGTCCTGCGAGCAGCAGCCCTCAGCTTGTTTGGCACAGCCCACCCTCTGCAAAGTAATTAGCCAGGGTTTCTCTCCAGCATGAATCTCCTTAGGAAGACTCACCAAAAGATGGGTGCTGGAATCCCACCACCTCCCCTTCACTGGAGTAGAGGGAACTCCAGATCAGATCAGAGGTATTTTATAGATAATACAGAAAAGTAGCAGAAAAAGTCAAAATAGAGAAAAAGTGGGAAATGAAGAAGAATTGACTTGGAAAGTAGAAAAGAACAATTCAAAACCTGTTAGAAGTGTTCACACTCAATTTTCAAAATGAGGCTTTCTACTTCCAAAGACTGATTGGGAAGGTACAGTCTTTTAACAAATCAAGATGGCAACCCTCATCCATCCAAATAAATATTTTACATTCCCAACATCTGTAGACTACCTTATCTCACTTTGCAAAATAAGTGGCTCCCTGGAAAGGTGTACGTACTCCATTTTTAAGTCTTATTTTAGATGTACTAGAAAATCCTGTTGATGATTCTGTCATGAACATTTTGGAACCTAGATGTTCAAATTTTGTTTATAGACCCATGTGCTGGATGTTTTTGAAATTCCCAAGTTCTATGAGGATGTGGATAATTAAATGCTAACATTTAAATAATGATCCAGATTCATGATGATATAAAAATTAAGCATGAATTCTCTACTCTCCGTTTGATGGACCTGTGGATTTAGGGACATGCAATCTTGGAGAGCACAGAGGTTGGTGCCATGTGCTGAAATGCTGTCATTGTAGAGCTTGGGGTTGGGGGGTCACAGAAGATCCCAAATGAAAAGTCCATTCTTGGAATTAGCTGGAATGGACACATCTAGATTGAGTAGCGTTTTCCTTGGCATGGTTCATCCATGCTTTGACCCTGACCATCCTGAGGTTGTGTAGTCACACTGCGTGTATAACTGGCGTGGTTTATTAATCCCAGGACCGGGTGACTGTACTACTGATTTAATATTTATTGAGCACCCACAATGCGTCAAACACAGTACAAGCCCCAGCCTGAAGAGCTTCACACAATGAGTCAGCCACACATGCGTCTTACACATATAACAAAGATGTCCGTGCATGAAGGGAAATCAATCGAGGACCTACCTTGGGGAACAAAGGTGCTCCTGACCTCTCGTCTGTGGGGGAGGGACCCTGGGTTCACTCCCAGATCTAGCCACACTCTTGCCTGGGTCCCCTTGATGTCAGTTTCATGCCTTGCACTTGCAAGACTACTAGATATTCAGGAATGCAAGCCACAGGACAGAGGTGGCTAACTAGCCTACCTGAGAAAATAAACCTGGAACTTAGCACCCCCTGCAGAAGAGCAGGCTGAAAACCCCCAAGAACAAAAATTCAGAAAGGTTACATCAATTGGAATAGTTACCTTAGCATCTCTCACAGCTGCTAATTCCAGGTAACTGTTGCTAACACATATTGAAGCACTCCCCAGCCGAGTTAGTGAGATAAATCTATTGATTGGCTGCGGAACGTGAGACTTGGTGACGATGCTTACAGAACCTCCTGTCAGCCTTGGAAAGGGCTGCTGCCAAGTGCCAGACTGGCTCAGTTCCCAGCTTTCCGGCCTGTATGGCTTCTTGCAGGAAGAGGACTGGATGCTTGGTATTAACTAAAGTGAATTGTAGTAAATAAAATGTTATACCTCAACCCTATGTGGATTTCTCTAGGACTCACTTCTGAAAGATTTTTTTTAAATCAGTTTGTTTTATAGTCAAACTTGTCCCAGATAGATTTCAGATAGGGTCAGAATTAGTTAGTTGCTGTTCCGTTGCCAATTTGCATAATTTGTAAAGATGTTTATAAACACAGCGTAATTCTCTGACCTCTTTAGTCTCTCCATAAAGTCTATGTAAATGTTAACAAATTTCAACTGAAGTTGTAGGTATGATAAAAACAGATGGCAGCTTTTCTAGTAATTTAATGGGAACACTTTCTTCTCACAGTTGATATATATTTAAATCAAGCTAATCAGGAAACACTTCATTTTTTTTAATACGCTAGCAACCAGGATTTGGAATAACTCATGGTGTATAACTTTCTAACGCAGCTGATCTAAAGTTGAATGGTGATTTTTTTTTAAAAAAATGATTAGACTCACACAATGGGCCTTACACATAGGAGACGTGTAAGGAAACGGTTGAATGAACATCCACATATTCTGATTATAAGGATTTGCCTCTATGTGATTCGTCAGGTATTGTCTGAAGGCTAAACGAGTGTTCCCCAAGTGTAGCATGTAACATGTCAGACTTCAACTCCAAATTCTTGATGCCTTTGGCAGGTACAATGAAAGCTTCATTCAGATATTTCTGAGATTCATTAGAAAGAGGATAATTCTTAAGGCATTTAACCTTGGATGCATATTAAAATCACCTGAAGTGCTTTGAAAAATGCTGATGCCCAGGCCTCATCTCGAATCAATTGGATTCTCTGGGGATAAGGCCTAGGCACTAATGTGTTTTGAAAGCTCGCCAGGTAATTCTAGGAGCAGCCAGGACTGAGAACCAGTGCCTTAAACCTTCTAACAAAGAATCTACAATTAATCAGGTCCCTTATTAACCCACTCTTTTCCCCTTCCCCTCCTCTCCCTACACATACGCATCAAAAGAATGCTCTGAGGGTGCTCGCTTCGGCAGCACGTATACTAAAATTGGAACGATACAGAGAAGATTAGCATGGCCCCGAGCAAGGATGACACACAAATCCGTGAAGTGTTCCATATTTAAAAAAAAAGAGAGAGAGAGAATGCTCTGAGGAACCGTGAAATGTCTGGCCTTGCGCCTCCCAAGTGATGGAGCTGCTGGAAACACAGGAGCCAGTCCTGGGATGCCTGGGAAATGAGCTCATATGGGGAAGGGGGTGATATAACGCAGTGGGTGGACTACGTTGTCGGAGCACCGGCTCCTTGTTCTCCACATGCATAGATGAAGCTGAAAGTTAGTTTTAGTGCCATTGCCAGAGGTAACTTGCATCTCCCGAGCTAACCTGGCTTTTCCTTTCTCCAGCCTTTTCTTGCCCTCCCCCAAGCTGCAAAAAGTCTAGTCACGTAATTACTAAAGACTCATATTGCTAACTAGCCCAACCACAAATACCTACCCTTCCATCGTGGTTGCTGACACTGAAGTAATAGGATTTAATCCTTGTTATCCCCAAATCATTCCCTCTTTCCCTTCCTTTCAGAGCACACTTTACTGAGTGAATGAGTTCATTTTGGAGAATAAGAGAAGGGAAGAGGTGGGGAAACTGATTCTGCTGTTTAGTGAGCTGGGGCAGTACTAGGATCTTACAGATGGTAGCTGAGTGGCTGCAGGCACTAGTTCATGCCATATGTGCCACAGGGGCTGATCTGACAGATGAATATTGTGCATCATTTCCCAAGACTCCTGCCCTCACTGCCCTGGTCGCTGTTCCAAAATCATCACTGAAACCCTCGTCCCAGGGCACTTGTTCTCACTTACAAAACTCTCGGGAGTTTAAGGTGAGGATTATCAGCCTGTATAGTGGCCCAACAGTGTTCACCTGTTCTCTTAACACCTGTTGTCTTAATTCCTTAAGGAATTAAGTGTTTAATCTATGCATCCCATGGGCGGCAGTTTATTTTTCTGTCCTGGCCTTAAGTCAACTTCTCCCAGTCCTTGTATTCTGGGTTGATCATGTTCCAAGTGTGTCACCAAAGAGCAGGTGCTGAGCAGTCAGTTGACAGCTGTTGATCTGTTGCAACTGAGCAATTAGAGAATGCAAAAGAATGCTATGGCACACGGTTCACATCGAATATTCAGAAAATCAAATATTTGAGTGCCTGCCTTGTGGCAGCACTGGGTGTGCATACAGAAACAAACGCATAGACAGGATGTCTATCCTATACACAGTTATATGTCCCCTTAAGTGATTTAGACCTTTTCCTCTTTATCCTTATTTATTTATATTTTCACTGACTAATTCATCTCATCATTTTCAAATAGGAGCTGGGGAGTAATGAGGGCGGAAAACAATAGCAGGACCTTTTGAAATGTGGCTTGTGTTTTTGTACTATAAATTCAAGTGAATTTAAAATTAAAACCCTTTTGGTGTATAAAGGTCTTATTTAGGAAATGCTGAAATCCTAGATGTAGATTTGTAATACATGTTTTCCTGGAATCCTAGAAAATAATGGGTTCAAATTGACTAAGCAATATCATGTATTATAACACAGTTGAGTCCTTTTTAAAAGGAAGCCTTAAAAGCTTTACCAACCCCAACACAGTCACTTTAAATCCCACTCCCATTGTTCCTTCCTCTCACCATTGAGCAGAAGGGAAAGCAAGGAAGACAGCCACGGTTCTGAAATACTGTTCTGAACCTGGAAAAGGGGATTTTTCGGCCTTCAAGGGCACAAAGAGGAAATAATAAATCCTCTTCCCTCTCCCTGGCCTCCTCCAAGCAAAGCACAAGACTCCCACCAAAGCCCACTTAGCGTTTTACAAAGACACAAGGACAAGACAAGACAGCTGGGCAAGATGGCTGGGCTGGAGGTTTTGCCTGGTATTGGCTTAGATCTGACGCTGAGATTAAGCTCTTCAGTCCAGCCTCGGGTGGACGCCCTCGGAGACCAGTGGACGTGGAGCTCCCCAGCCAAGGCCCGGCACAGCCTGGCATCAGATGACCACGCTGACTGTCATGCTCTGGCGGTGCGGTGCAATTTTCCGGGGCCAGGTGAGCAACAGCTTGCGCAGCTCCTCGCGGAAGCTGTCGTGCAGCCAGGCGTAGATGAAAGGGTTGTAGCAGGCCGAGCTCATGGCGAGCCAGTGGCAGAGCAGCTGCACTAACCCGAAGGCATAGGGGTCGATGGCGCGCGGGTCGAGGTCCCGCAGCAGGTTGAAGATGTGCAGCGGCAGCCAGCAGACGGCGAACACCACCACGACCACCACCAGCAGGCAGAAGGTGCGGCGGCGTCGCGCGCGGTCACAATCGGCCTGGCTCTGGGTCACGCAGCCTGGCACCACGCGGTTCCGGAGCTTCACCGACACCCGGACATAAGACAGGAGGATGACCAGCAGGGGGAGTAGGTAGGTGACTAGCAGCAGCCCCCAAGCGTAGAGCTGGCGCTGGCGCTCCTGAGACCCCCAGAACTCCTCGCAGAGACGCACGCGGTGCGGCTTGAGCTCCACATGGTAGGTGTGCACGGCGGCGGGCAGCGCCAGCACTGCGGACAGCGCCCAGATGGCCAGCACGGCGTAGGCGCTGAGGCGCAGCGAGATCCGCCGGCGCAGCGGGTGCACCAGCACGACGTAGCGGTCCACAGCGATGGTGGTGAGCGTGAACACCGACACGTAGACGGTGACGGGCTGCAGGAAGAAGACCAGGTGGCACAGGCCGCCGCCGAACACCCAGCCGCGAGGCTCGAAGGCGTAGGCCAGCGTGAGCGGCACGCAGGCGGTGCACATGAGCACGTCGGACAAGGCCAGGTTGCCGATGAGGAAGTTGGTCACGTTGTGCAGCCGGCGCACGCGCGCGATCACCAGCACCAGCAGGCAGTTGCCCACCAGCCCCACGACCACCACGATGCTGTAGAGCAGCACGATCAGCCCCTTCAGCTGATGCACCAGCTGCAGGCTCTGGAATGGCGTGATGGCCTGAGCGCCCGGGCCAGCCGCCGACCCGTTACCCGCCGAGGCCTCTGCGCTCTGGTTGGCCCGAGCTGAGGCCGCCGGCTGCAGCTCTGAAAATAAGTCAGGGGACCCGGGGCCCCGAGTCGGCAGTGAGGCCATGGCCACCTGTCCAAAGAGAATCAAAGTCCATCACTTCACATTCTCCAAACGCCCGTCCTACACCAACCGCGCCCCTCACTTCAATCACCCAAATACACCCTTTGGAATAACTGGCCACAATAAACAACAACAATAAAAAGTGCTATCATCCCACCCCTGTAAAATACATCTATGAGTGGTTAGACATGCACAGGTTATTTAGACGCCTCCTACTCAATTTAGAGCCCTCGCAGTGTGCAAGACTAGGAGCACAGTCCTACCTGGTGAGTGGGGCTTGGCGGGCAGGAAAGCGCTTCCGGGAGAGAAGGACAGAATCCCGGCGGTCCCCTGCTTGTCCTCCGCCCACGACGGCGGTACAGGCTTCTCCCTTCTCCGCGGGAGCTGAACAGATTCAGGAGTTCCCAGTGGGCTCGCAGCTTTTGAGAGGGACTGGGAGCACCTCCCCTTCGCCCCGCCCCCACTCCAGCGCTCCCTTGTATGGAAAATGGGGGCGGAGCGCGCACCATCCGACTCGGTGCTTGGACAACTAGAGAGGACAGTGTGAGGAGAATGGAAACAGAAAAGAAAGGAGGGGCCGGCAAACCTGCGCCAGAGGGGAGACGGAGAATCTCGACTGAGGGAGCTCTGCAGCGCCCTGGGGGAGTCCCGCTCCGGAGGAGCGTGCGGTGGACCAACGGAGAGGAGCGGCGTGAAGCGCCAGGCTCTTGGGATGACCTAGGACAGTTTCAATAAGGAGGGTGCAGGGGAGGAAGTGGAGTGGGGGATTGAGATACACCACAGGATGTAAGGGAGAAATGAGAGACCCGTCCTTCAGCGCTGGATCTCGCACCGAGTCCGAGCTGGGGTTAACAGAGTCGCGTAGGGAGTTCCGGCAGGGATTTAAAATTAGAGCCCTGAACTCGCTGCAGACCTTCGGGCCCTAAACACTCCCCGGGACCCGCTGAGCCGTTCGCCTAGGCTGCGGCACGTTTTGCGAGCTGCGGGTCCGACCAAGCCAAAGAAAGGGTTCAGCACCACGGACAGCTCCAGCGGGGCCTTGCTGCGCGGTGCTCGGGTGCCTGGGAGGGGACAACAGTTACGGAGTTCTGGCCCCTCTCTGGATCAGATGCATTCGGAGAAGGGACCCAGCCTGGTTGAAAGAGCTGCCTCACCGCCTGCTTCCTGGGCTGGGGCTGCCGACCAGTAGAGCGGAGTGGAGGCCCATGAGCCGGGGTCTCCGGGGGTTGGAGAGGGGTGACTTGTGATTCCAACGACGACGCTGTCTTTTACCTCCCTAGCTTAGAAAATGCAGCCGTAGTGCCGGTTATCCTACACAAGCACACTTCAATACCTGGCCCCCACCACTCCCCTACTCACCCTTTCTGCTCCCTCTTTCTCAGCTATTTCTCAGCTACCATGCCCTATCCCTTATCTGCCTGACTCTCCCAGTACAGAATGTAAGTTCCTGGACTAGGACCCTTCTCTCTCCTTAAATAAACACCCCTAGACCTCCTCACCTCATTTTATGATTGAAAAAAATATCAGTAATTGCAGGATTTCCACTAGGATAACAAAAATAACAAATATTTGAAAAGTTTAGAAGTTACATAAAATTGTTAGTAGTATTGAGTCATCATTGAAATGCAAATTAACCTGGACCAAGGGTGGGGGAGGCTTTGCAACCTCCTTCCCTCCTTTGAGAATATCTCACCCTTCACCTCCTATTTCCCTTTTCCAGAGAGTGGAGCCTCATTGTCCCCTCTTGGGTAAGCCCTTGTACTTCGCCTTCTGGCTGCAGATATCCCCATTAGGCTGGCAAGAAGTAAAATTAATCCACCCTCCATATTCAAGTGAGTCATTCATACAGGAGGAAAAGTCAACACTGAAACAGAAGCAATCCATTTTATGCACCTGTATCTATTCTAAACCCACACTCCCTGAGTTATAATCAATTTAGCTAAAGCCAGTATGACATAAAAAAAAAAAAACCCTCAAAATAAAATATATTCTCTGCCTGCCTAATCCCTTACCCAGTAGTTATTCTCATCATGTTCGCCAACAGGGTAATATGTGCCCAAGAACAGAGGAATTCTTTTGCTTCAAAATATCTTAAGCAGAGGAAACTGTGGTAACACAGGTGAAGAAGGATTTGGGATGCAGTTAGGCTCCATAACTAGAGCCGTCACTTTGGTCAATATCATTGACATATAATGCTAAAAAAAATAACAAGACAATCTTGTCAACAACTAAATGGCATGCAAATGTCAGTATTTGAAAATTCAACATTGGAGCACCCTCTAGAGAAAAGAGTTGATCATTTGCCGAGTTCCAGACACAATCTGGTAAGGGTTTCAGTGTTGTCAGTATTTGCAAGGTGGAAAAGAAGTGAACATCTTAGAATAGAATAGCCCACTTTAGATCTTTATTCTCTCAGATCCTCACTGGAGTTAAGGCTAGTCTCACTCTCAGCCAGGATATCACGATTAAACCATACTAATATTCAGACTTGCATGTACTAATAGTGCTCCAGAAACCTGAGAGATCATAAATAAACAAAAAAAAATTTAGGCCAAATGAAGGAAAGATAGTACTTCATAAGGTAAATAGCAAACCATAGGATTTTATTACCACCTCTTTCCCAAGAATCCTCAATGGCCCATCAAACAAGGGCCAGACCCTTCAGAATGGCATTTCTAACCAATATACACCCCTATTCTGATCTTCCCTCTTTATTTATTTATTTCTTCTTTTTGGTCTGGCTTCCCATCTCTGTCTGTCTCACTCCCTGTATTTAGGCCAAACTAGACTGTTTATTGGACACAGATATGTCATCACCATTCCAGTCAGATACCTCTCTTTGGGTTTATTCCCTTTCTCCAGAATGCTGGTTACCTCATCCCCACTCAACTCCACATTCTTCACATCCTCCAAAGCCTAACTCAAAGATTACCCTGTCCTCAAAGTCTTTTACCTTTCACGATCTCTCTGTCCTTTGTTACTTTCTAACTTTGAAACCGTGAAAGTGTTTTTCCTGCCTCCACCAACCATGGCTGTAAACTCTTTATGGACAGGTGCCAATGTCTTGAAGCATTTTTATACCTACAACCTGCCTGAACCCAGCAGATACCCAATACACATTTCTTTTGATTAAATGGATAAAAACAGCCACCATTGATTGAGGGTTTTTTTCATGCCAGGCATTGTGCTAAGTATTTCACATATACTATCTCCTTCGATCCCCTCAAAACTATTTTACATCCATTTTACCAATGAGGAAACTGGCTGTTAATAATGGCACAGCTAATGAGCAGTGGGCTAGAATTTTAACTTAGATCCACCTGATTCTGGAGCCAAAGCACTCAAATACTGTACTTTACTACCACTAAATAAATGACAGATGCACTTGACAAACTGAAAATGCAAGTAGGTTCAAATGGAATTGAATAAATAGAGAGACATCCCCTCCCAGAATGGTTGATGAAAGGAAGCTCTAGTAAATTTGGTTATAATCCTAACCTGTATCGTAACATATCTTTATGCCTCAACCCAAATGTCCCTTGCTTTTAATTCATGTAGGAGACAAAACCTTGGGCAGTCTGAACTTCAGGGTATGGTCTTATGCTTTATGATGACAACAGGTGACATGACGTGGAGAACAGAAGACAGAGACAAAAGAGGTAAGGATGGAAGGTAGGGGTCTGGGAAGCTTGATTAAGGGATCTGAAGATTTTTATGCCAAAATTCATGCTGATACACTGCAGTGAGCCCAAACGAATGGGAAACCAGTAGAGACCATTTTTTAATTACTGGTGGGGAAAGAGCAATTTTTGAGACATGTTAAGTCCAGGCAATAACAGAGTAGAAGCTCCCCCAGAAGTGAGTTTTGTCTTTTAAGCCTGTCCTGTGTAAGTTCCTAGTGCCAGACTCTCCACTGGCTCCTCCAGCTGAGCCATGCAGCAGCTCTAGGAGCCCACTCAGCATGGCAGGGCTGGCCACCTACGGGAAAGGAAAGCCTGTGTCAGAAAGTGTGAGAACTGACATGACATCACATACAGAAGTGAAGAAAACCCCAGGTGTTTCGCTTGGACGGCTTTGAGAAAGCGCTGTTCATCACAGATTCCAGACATATTAATTATCACTTCCGGTGCTGTCATGCATGCACTAGTCATTTTTTAAATCTCCAACCCAACTTTGCCCAAACCCAGAGTGGAGGCTTAAAAGCTATTATTCCGACCAGAAATAATCTTTCTTTGGCCAGACTTTCCTTCTCATCCTGCCAAAAACCAAAAGCGAGCCCCGAATGGCCTTGTGTCCTCCAACCCAGAGCCGTCTCTGAAGTGACATGTGGAGCGTACATCTCGTTTCTGCCTCATTTTAATCTGGGCTCCATAGTGGGTCCCAACCCTTTGGCCTGGAAATCTAGGCAAGCTCTGGGCTTTCTGTAGCCAAGTTTGTGTGAAAGCTCTTGACTCTGCCCTTGGCTCTGGAAGGTGAAAAGGCACAGAACTTTAACAAAGAGAAAACTTGCTACTAGATGATCCTGGGCACACATGGGGTTCAGAGGATGGAGTGAGGCAGCCCTTCAGTTTTCTCACTACTCACCTCTCAGGCCATACTTATTTCAGGCAGACTTCAGACAGACTCCAGAGAGTGTCTAGGTGACAGAGGTGACCCTTGCTGGCGTGGCCTTTGAGTAGAACATCCACAAGACAAATACACCTTTCGTTTATAGTGTAGACTCCCCCTAATTGTGTAATTTGTAACTAGACTAAGAAAGTCTTCTCTTCTCGGTGACTTCAGTTGTCCAGAAGGTGGGCTACCTCCCCAGGAAAGGAGTGGGTAAGCCCCCGAGAGTAATACGAGGAGTTGGGGTGGGGTGGACACCCTTTCCTGCCACGGGAGAGAAGGGAAGGATGTAACCTCCTAATTCAACACTATTTGTGATATATCTATTAGGTGACCAAGCCTAGACAACATGCCCCGTGTGAGTGAAAGATGAGTAAGTGAGACACGCTCCCTGCCCTCAAAGAGCTCACAGTCTTGGGCAGAATTTGCTAGAAACAGAGTCAGCTAGCTGAAGGAACTATGAAAACAATCCCAGGGGGCTGCTACTCTAGGAAAGCCAATGTTAAAACTGAAAAGCCCGGTGGATTTAGTAAATTAGCAATTGATGAGATTCTTGATTTCCAATTCTGTTCAGCCTTACATATCTCATTATAGCTGTTTCTTTGAGTAATTTCTTATTTCTTCTAGTATCATGGTTTGTACATGAATTGCCCACTCAGCTAAAAATAAGACCTTGAGTTAGCAGTCAGGGTGTTAAAAATAAAGAGGTGCTCACAAGCACTCCGTATTGACGGGCAAGTTTGAGGCAGTCCTGGCTGATCTAGCCCCACACTCATCTCTGGA